TTTTGTGTGATGTCATAGTAAGCATTTCCCGTAAAAATTAGGCCCCGCCTCCTTATTGCAGCCTTAACTGTGCTGCGAAAGATTACCCACCTTATAAGAATAATTGTAGTGAAATAATATCATGACAAAGTCCAGACATTACTTCGTACTTTAAAGAAAATGGCTGCGATCACTGAGATGCATCGTAAACAAAGTTACGCATGACCGATTTAAGGTACAAAAATTATGCAGATTGAATATGATTTTTAGTTACTTCCGATTTCCTATCAGAAAATCTTTCATTTCTTGCTTGGAATGACATTTAAGGTAGAGTCTATAACATAACCCAGTCACGGTTTTCGGGAAAATTATTTCCGGTATGGTTTTTTGTAATATAACGCATACTCGATCCCGATGCAATATAGTTTTGTAAACACTATGGTGTGTGGCAAATAATACGATCAATAGCCATAATCGGAGTCTTAATATTAGGACATTCAGGCGAATGAATGACTTTCACGAAGGTTAGGGTATTTAATAGTTATAACATGATAAATTAATAGATTGCGTTTTCATGGCCTGTTAGCCACTGGTAGAACTAGTGACCTAGTTAGCATGTGTGTATGCACAGCAGAAAAGACTTGAATTTCTTACTAATTATTTCTTACGCTAATCTTCCGAGGGTAAAAGGAATCCCGCCCATAAAGACAATCACGTACAGTGAAAAAACAAAAATCCCTAACTTGTTGACTTGCAGTTTTACAAGAAGTGATGATTCTTTAATATGACCCTGGTTTATAGCCATTAGGTCACAGAAAAAAATTTCCCAGTTACAAACCAATATAATCTAGTCTTTGAACAACATAAGCTAGTCACTGTGAAACTTTACTCAGTCACTGGAAAACCTAACCTAGTCACTGTTCAACATACTATACCCAATCAATCATAACCAATTCACTGTTCAACTGTGAGATAATGAACACACATAATTTAGTAGATATTCATGGTTTTCTAAATTTATTTAAATCCTATTTTACAGCTTTGAAATACACTGTAAAAGATGATTAAAAACTTACTGACTATAAAACTTTCTGGCAAAAATGGGTTGTTATATTTTAATTTTTTTTTGGCAATCACTTCAATATGTTACAAGTGAATCCCTCAAAACTGCACTGTTCTAGCTTTTCTTTCTCTTTTTCTTTCTCAATTGCGAGCTTATTAATAAATGAAACAACATAACCCAGTCACTGAACAACATAACCCAGTCACTGTACAACAAAACCCAGTCAATGGGAAACCTAACCCAGTCACAGTTCAAAATAACCCAGTCTCTCAACAGCATAACCCAGTCACTGAAAAATATAACCCAGTTACTGAGAACCAAATCCCAGTCCCTGAATAACATAACCCAGTCATTGAAAATCATTACCCAGTCACCGAGCAACATAACCCAGTCTCTCAACAACATAACCCAGAGAGAAACATAACCCAGTCACTGTACAACATAACTCTGTCACTGAGAAACATAACTTAGTTTTTTAAGAAGATTACCCAGTCACTGAGCAACATAACACAGTCACTGTTTAAACCAGTCACTATACAACATAACCCTGTCACTGAGGAACATAACCCAGTCACTGTTCAACATAACCCAGTCACAGAACAACATAACCCAGTCTCTGTTTAACATAACCCAGTCACTGTTCAACATAACCCAGTCACAGAACAACATAACCCAGTCTCTCAACAGCATAACCCAGTCACTGAACAACATAACCCAGTCACTGAGGAACATAACCCAGTCACAGAACAACATAACCCAGTCTCTGTTTAACATAACCCAGTCACTGTTCAACATAACCCAGTCACAGAACAACATAACCCAGTCTCTCAACAGCATAACCCAGTCACTGAACAACATAACCCAGTCACTGAGGAACATAACCCAGTCACTGTTTAACATAACCCAGTCACTGAGGAACATAACCCAGTCACTGAACAACATAACCCAGTCACTGTTTAACATAACCCAGTCACTAAACAACATAACCCAGTCACTGTTTAACATAACCCAGTCACTGTTCAACATAACCCAGTCACAGAACAACATAACCCAGTCTCTCAACAACATAACCCAGTCACTGAAGAACATAACCCAGTCACTGTTTAACATAACCCAGTCACTGAGGAACATAACCCAGTCACTGAACAACATAACCCAGTCACTGTTTAACATAACCCAGTCACTAAACAACATAACCCAGTCACTGTTTAACATAACCCAGTCACTGTTTAACATAACCCAGTCACTGAACAACATAACCCAGTCACTGTTTAACATAACCCAGCCACTGAAGAACATACCAGTCACTGAGGAACATACCCCATTCACTGAACAACATAAGCCAGTCACTTTAACATAACCCAGTCACTAAACAACATAACCCAGTCACTGAGGAACATAACCCAGTCACTGTTTAACATAACCCATTCACTATTTAACATACCCAGTCACTGTACATCATAACCCACTCATTGAATAACATAGCCAAGTCACTGAACAACATAACCCAGTCACTGTTTATCATAACCCAGTCACTGTTTAACATAACCCAGTCACTGTTTAACATAACCCAGTCACTGTTTAACATAACCCAGTCACTGTTCAACATAACCCAGTCACTGAACAACATAACCCAGTCACTGAGGAACATAACCCAGTCACTGATGAATATAACCCAGTCACTGTTTAACATAACCCAGTCACTCTTCAACATAACCCAGTCACTGTTCAACATAACCCAGTCAGTCAATGAACAACATAACCCAGTCACTGTTTAACATAACCCAGTCTCTGTTTAACATAACCCAGTCACTCTTCAACATAACCCAGTCACTGTTCAACATAACCCAGTCAGTCAATGAACAAAATAACCCAGTCACTGTTTAACATAACCCAGTCACTGTTTAACATAACCCAGTCACTGAACAACATAACCCAGTCACTGTTTAACATAACCCAGTCACTTTACAACATAACCCAGTCACTGTTTAACATAACCTAGTCACTGTTTAATATAACCCAGTCACTGAACAACATAACCCAGTCACTGTTTAACATAAGCCAGTCACTGTTTAACATAACCCAGTCACTGTTCCACATACCCGGTCACATACAACATAACCCAGTCACTGAGCAACGTAACCCAGCCACTGTTTAACATAACCCAGTCACTGAACAACATAACCCAGTCACTGTTTAACATAACCCAGTCACTGAACAACATAACCCAGTCACTGTTTAACATAACCCAGTCACTGTTCAACATAACCCAGTCACTGTTCAACATAACCCAGTCAGTCAATGAACAACATAACCCAGTCACTGTTTAACATAACCCATTCACTATTTAACATACCCAGTCACTGTACATCATAACCCACTCATTGAATAACATAACCAAGTCACTGAACAACATAACCCAGTCACTGTTTATCATAACCCAGTCACTGTTTAACATAACCCAATCACTCTTTAACATAACCCAGTCACTAAACAACATAATCCAGTCACTGTTTAACATAACCCAGTCACTGTTTAACATAACCCAGTCACTGAACAACATAACCCAGTCACTGTTTAACATAACCCAGTCACTTTACAACATAACCCAGTCACTGTTTAACATAACCTAGTCACTGTTTAATATAACCCAGTCACTGTTCTACATAACCCAGTCACTGTTTAACATAAGCCAGTCACTGTTTAACATAACCCAGTCACTGTTCCACATACCCGGTCACATACAACATAACCCAGTCACTGAGCAACGTAACCCAGTCACTGTTTAACATAACCCAGTCACTGAACATCAACCCAGTCACTGTTTAACATAACCCAGTCACTGAACAACATAACCCAGTCACTGTTTAACATAACCCAGTCACTGTTCTACATAACCTAGTCACTGTTCAACATAACCCAGTCACTGAGGAACATAACCCAGTCACTGATGAATATAACCCAGTCACTGTTTAACATAACCCAGTCACTGTTCAACATAACCCAGTCACTGTTCAACATAACCCAGTCAGTCAATGAACAACGTAACCCAGCCACTGTTTAACATAACCCAGTCACTGAACAACATAACCATGTCACTGTTTAACATAACCCAGTCACTGAACAACATTACCTAGTCTCTGTTTAACATAACCCAGTCACTGAGGAACATAACCCAGTCACTGAGAAACATAACCCAAGCATTCAATATGAATTAATGTGCATAATTTGGTCTCCAAATATATAAGGCATATATACAAAAGTGGTAAGGAAAATAATTTTTTTGACACAATCATTATTTGGAACATAAACTAATGTTAAGCCTTTTTCTAGAGCTCTGCTCCCAATTTTTATACAAATTGGGTTTAGTCACTGAGGAACTTAAAGATAAAAATAACGTAGATCAATTAATCCTAGGGAAAAAAAATGGCCACACAATATTAAGACCATACAAATGTATTACAGGTACTATTTAAGAAATAATGAATAGCTGCACAAGTGTTCCTTTTAAATTACACCCAAATCCAATGGTATGAATTCTGCATGTGAAATTCATTTCACTTGTCAGAAAAACAAAACTTTAATATATATTTTCAAAGTCAAATACATCAAATTTTATCAAATTCTTCCTACATTTAAACTAATGTTTCTAGTAGGAATTAATGATAAAACAGTCTGGGTCTGGTGTGGATTTGATTTGAATGAAATCACAATTATCAGAGTTTATGAGTTCATCTAGAGTAACCAAGTACAATTGATCAGCCCTGACAGAGTCCATTTTACATTATAACAATATTTCATCAGATGGTGATATATAATAACTGTAAAGAATCTGCAAACAAATATTGTTCAACATGTCATATAGCAATTGATGTAGAACATCTTTTGCAATGCTATCACAATCGAAATATTCCAATATAACAAATTTGCAAACTCAATCAACCAGAACATAAATTTGTTATTTCAATGGATAGAGAAGTTCTTCAGCTTCTCTATATGTTATGTTCTTGACAACAGAAGCGATAATGATTCTTGCTTCTACAAGCAATACATCCTTAAAGTATCTAATTCCTTCATTCAATCTCTGTCCTGTCCTAAAAGAGAATGAAAATAATTAAAAATAAAGTTGTCTATGGAGATCAATCAAATCAAGAAAAAATCAGATGTGAATTATGATTAAATTATGGATATGAAGAGACATATGGTTTACTTTAAAAGTTAATAATTTAGTTACAAAAATAACTCCTGACTGACATTACACAATATGCCTCTCCATTTTCTTCAACAAGGATGAATAAAAAAATATCATACTCATCTTCCAGTGTTGCCATAAGCTTTCCATTATTGCAGTTTTTCAAACTAAGGTAATGTCCTGGAGGACTGAAGAGACCACTAAAATCGACAAATTTTTTTTATTAAAAAAGAAAAAAGTACAATGAAGAATGCTGAACATGACTTAGTTGTCTTTAATTTGTTGAAAAGGGGGAGTGGAATTAACTTGGTGCAAAATGTGTGCTTCTTTTATTTGATATTTACAAGCAAAACAAAATTTTCACAACTTTTGGTATCTGCCCTATATAATCTTTATAAGAGGAATATTATGTGTGAATGAAATATTATCCCAGACTTCTCTACAGGCTTCGATACCCTCATCGTGCGGAATATTGGTGTACAAAGATGTGACGTCCATAGTCACGAGAAGGGTATGATCTGGAAGGCCAGTAGAGGGCGTCTTGTTAATGTAGTCCGTGGTGTCCTTGAGATAGGATGGCAAATTCTCTACGTGTGGACGGAGATGTAAATCGATGTATTCAGAAATTTTCTCCGTGGGGTGTCCAATAGCGCTAACTATAGGGCGACCTGGCATACGATGAGGGTATCGAAGCCTGTAGAGAAGTCTGGGATAGTAGATCCATACAAATTCCTTCTACCGAGTCCCTTGCCAAGCTCCTTGAACATGTTCTCAAGTATAACAACTTCATGTTTAATGGAGAACATTACCTGCAGGTTAATGGCACTGCTATGGGTACGAAAATGGCACCATCTTATGCCAATATTTTCATGGGCAGACTGGAACGCAACTTGCTACTTCAAGCACCATTTAGGCCCCTTAGCTGGTTGCGTTTCATTGACGATATAGAGATGAAGTGGGTGGAATGTCGCGAGAGCCTCGAGGCATTCATTTCGTTCGCCAACACCTTTCATCAGTCTATCAAATTTACAGTAGACGTATCTAATTCGAAAAACATATTCCTAGATACTACATCTACCCTGACTGATGGTGAAACCGAGTTCAGTCTCCACACGAAACCCACAGATTCCCATCTGTATCTTATGCCAACTAGCTGTCATCCCCCACACACATTTAAGGGTGTGCCTAAGGGTCTAGCCACCAGAATTCGGCGCATCTGTTCATCCCCTGCCTTATATCAAGAACAAAGCGGTCTCCTTAAGTCCCACTTATGCAAGAGAGGCTACAATGCCCGCACCGTACAAACTGCTATTGATGAGATGGCGGGACATGACAGGCAAAACCTATTACGCTACAAGGAAAAAGACAATAGCGGCAGGGTCCCTCTGGTAACCACATACCATCCCGTCCTTAAGAACCTCAGCGGTATCCTTCAAAAGAATCTACCAATTCTCCACTCAAATAAACGAATGGCAGGGGTCTTTAAGGAGCCCCCATTGGCTGCATACAGGCGCCCGAGGAACCTGAAGGACATGGTAGTAAGAACCAGATTGGACAATCCATTACCTAACGGGGGCTTTAAAACTTGCTCTGACAGAAGATGTCTTCTCTGTAAGTACAGCTCTGACACAGACAGTTTTAACAGCCCCGTTACAGGCCGCAGCTACAAAATACTAGGGAATTTGTCCTGTCAAACAGACAACTGCATTTATCTCATCAGCTGCAAAGTTTGCTCCAAACAGTATGTTGGTGAAACAGGAGATCTCCGCAGGAGAGTCAATAATCACCGTTCTACCATTAGGACCAAAAAACTCAATGAACCCGTTGGGGAACATTTCAACCTTGAAGGTCACAAATGGGAGGACATGACAGTAGTGGTTATTGACCATAATCCAAGATGGACAGACGCGCAGAGAAAAGGCAAGGAAAAGTTCTGGATGCACAGGCTGAAGTCATTCCGCCCTAATGGTATTAACAAACTTAATGACTTCACCAGGATGAACGTGAACTAGACCCAATCCCGAATTGTAACAAACAAGTTCATTCTCTCTATATAGTGTAAACTTTACCGTTAATTCGTATTAGTAATCCTGGAACAACCTACCCAAATATTTACAGCTCACATTTTTGTTTATTTCTTTTTTCCGATTTCCAAATTTAGAATATATCCAAATTCATATTTCAAAATTGTCCTTCCATATTATCTTTCTTTAATTTCTTTTTATCATGTAGAGTTACGCTATGTTGAGAGAATAAGACAATGTACGATTTACTGTTGGCCGTAATTAATTAGCGATAATTAATTCGTTCAATTATGTAAATCACACTTCACCAGAGTACACCCGATAGACCGGACGCAATTCATAGCGCTCCGGATTTCTTTGTTCACAACTGTCTATAAACTCAAAATTAAACATGTAACATTGTAAACATTTAGTGTTTGGTAGTTTAGTAGTAGTGCTAGTTGTTTTTGCTTCTCTATTTCCTTTGTTTTTATGACTTCTTAACTTTTTTCTTTGTCCTGAGGAAGGGACAGGTTGTCCCGGAAATTTGACAATTATTATTGTTCGTGTCGTTGGTCATTTTTAGTGCTTTATATATATATATATATATATATATATATATATATATATATATATATATATATATATATATATATATATATATATATATATATATATATATATATATATATATATATATATATATATCATGAGAAAGACTATGTTCAATAAAAAAGAAAACAATCATGTTATAAATCAGTATCCATAACAACACCTGCACATGAGCAAGAATATGCAGGACTAGCCTTGTAAAATACATTGTATGGTTATACATTAAAATCTAGAGAGAGTACATATGGATGTTACCTCTTTATGAAAAAGTTTATTTCTTTCTTCCATTCCTTTCACAGAGTTATTCATCACATTATGGTCAGTCAAGTCATTCCTGTCAATCCATCGCAGATGTCTCCAGTGTGGTTCATAACACCTGTAAAAGGAATATTATAACACTCGATCAAGTTAATTTAATTTTAACCACTTGTTACAGTACATCTTGTAAAGCAAAGTGCATGAAACAGTGTTAAACTATGAAAGACATACCATAAAATTTCTTTAATTTCCAATGAATGGAATCTCATTTTATTGCCCATAAATTTAATGCAGACAATTTAAAAGTAAATAGGCTGCTTTCAATGTTTATTATTTACCTCTTATCACCCTCTTCTAATTCCAATATTTCCTTCAGCTTTGTTTTGATGTCTTTTGCAAACTGTTAAAATTTTTAAATAATTATAGGAATTTTTTCTCCTGAAAATCTCTCTGCCATAAACAGGACTGGTAGTGTTATAGAACTATTACTAATCACTTAGAGCAGGCTATACTATCCCCTTTTTAACTCTTATCTTCATTGTTGAGCTTTTATATACATATCATGCTGTTTATATATCTAAACATCAATTCTTAATAAATTTCTCTAACTTGACCTGAAGATTGAGTCAGTTTCAGAAAGTGTTGATATGGATTCAGAAAACTGATCAGAAAGTCAGATTACACCATATGATTGTGTGAAATAAACAGTAAAACTGAGTGATAAATAAGACAGAATTAAATTGATTTCTTAACCCAGGGCTGTTAGATAACCATGCATGCAACAGATACTAAAAATTACCAGAGTTGCTATATTGTAGCCTTGTATGTTTCCTGTTCCCTTGTTTATGGGAAGATCCATCCTGGCCATTCGCACAAAATGTTAACCAGTTTCATGGACTGTTCAGTCTATAAACAAAAAATGTTAATTTTTCATGAACAATATAGACAAACCTTATTGTTATACTTTTATATTAAGTCAAATTTGATTGTTTTAAAAACATTTGTTAAAAAGTACTGTTACCCTACCGCATGTGTAAAGTATGCCCTCCACGTAACATTACATAGCAATGATGACATTGCATGACGAAGGGTAACAGTGCAAAATTGGGCAGAATGTATGCCCATTCGGTTTACTGTGGGTTCTTTTTTTAAAATGCTTTATTCTAAATAGATTTGGTATAACAAAGGAAAATATTTACATTTTTAAGGTTATCCCTTGAAAATCATTACTGCCTGGTGTCCATCATGCTATCTTTAAACTATTTACATTATAAAAAACTAGAGGCCCATGGGCCACAACACTCACATGAGTAACTTTGGCCCTGCTGTTCTTCACCAGACTTTCCCCAATGTTATACCTATTGTGGCTCACCCTACCCCCAGGAGTATGATTTTAACAATTTGTAATCTTCACTACTCCAGGATGCTTCCACATAAATTTCAGCATATCTGGCCCAATGGTTCTTGAAAAGGAGATCTCCAAGGATTTTTTCATATATATTTCAATGTAAAAATTAGATTCCTATTGTGGCCCCACTCTATCCTAGGGGGTTCATGATTTTAATAATTTAGAATCTACACTACTCCAGCATGATTCCACATGAGTTTAAGCTTTTCTGGCCCAGTGGTTCTTAAGAAGAAGATTTTTTAATGACCCCACCCTATTTTTGCCTTTTCTTGATTATCTCCCATTGTAAGGGGGTTTGCCCCTTATTTTAACAATTTAATTTCCCCTTCACCAAAGGATGCTTTGTACCAACTTTGGTTAAAATAGGCCCAGTGGTTCTTGAGAAGAAGATGAAAATGTGAAAAATTAACAGACGGACAACGGGTGATCAGAAGAGCTCACTTGAGCTCAGGTGAGCTAATAATAAGTTTCTAGGGTAACATGTGAAATTGTTATCCCTTGAAAACCATTGATGACCTCAGCTTTGCATCAGTTCACAGGATATCAATTTAATGTGTTACCCTAAAACATCATAACATGTTTTATTTTTATAATGTAAATAGTTTAAAGATAGTATGATGGACACCAGAAGAATTTGTTTCATCAGAAATGCTCATTGGAATATTTAATGGGTCAGGTGTAGGGATGGGTATCGCCAAAAATTTCGTATCGCAAAATATCACGATTTCCCCCCAAGATATCACGATAATATCATGATATTTTTACAAGCAATTTTTACAATGATTTTAAATGAATATTCATAATTTTTCCGAAAAATATGCTTGAAAAACATAACTTCACTTTTTTCATTTTTTTATTGACATAATATCAAGCAATTTTGGATGCTAGAATGCCTTTCTTTTACCCTTTTCAACATTTTGTACACTTCCTGTAATTATAATTTAAAATTTTAATAATTATAATTTGAAAGATTGAACAAATAAAAGATAATTTTCTGGAATTTATAGCTATGTACCCAAATACCGGTATTTTAGTCTCCGTATCAGGATACTGGATGCCTGTTTAACATATGTATAATTATAAAAAAAAGTATAAAGGCTATTCTTAAAATATTCACAAATAATTAAAAAAAACAACAACATAAGTTTCTGATGATACTGTAGCTCTACTGGTTTGTACTTATAACAATTTTTTTAAAGAAAGAGAAAAGTAGCACTTGGACTTGAAACTTTGCAACAGCAATAGAGTAATGATCCTTGATTTAGTCTATTTTTGTGGCAAGATTTATTGCAATCAGACTAAAACTGTAGGAAGAGTGACCTTTTAAAAGATTTATACAAAATTTTGATGTCAGTAACCATGGCAACATCAATCATCAAAAGCCAAAAAAAAAAAACTGATAAAGACAATTGTGTATCTCAAAGTAGTCTATTTGCATGCTAAGTTACATTTAAATTATAGCAAAAATATAGGAGGAGTAGCATTTTGAATGTATTTCACAGAAATTTTATTTTTAGTAACCATGGCTACACTTCACCAAAATAAAACAAAAAAAAGACAAACAGAATTATGTATCCTAGTGAATTCTACTTGTGAGCCAAGTAATATTGATATCAGATCGAAACTATCCCCAGAGTAGCATTTTAAAGGAATTTCACAGGAATTTCTATTTTTAGTAACTATAGCAAAAACATTCATCAAACCTGAGTCTAATGCACTGAGTTAAGTATCTTCATGTAGTCTAGTTGTGTGCCAAGTTATGTTGAAATCAGACCAAACCTGTAGGAGAAGTAGCTTTTCGAAAATTGTTTACAGACAGAGGGACAGACAGACAACTAGAAAGACAGATGGATGGATGACGGACACCTTACTAACGCATAAGCTCTTCTGGTCTCTGACCAGTAGAACATAAAACCAAACAAGATGTGCATTGTGAAACAATGATGAAGGTTGAAAGGTCAAAAATGTTTGTATGCAAAGAAAGGTCTTGTCACAAGGAATACCTTGTCACAAGGAATGCACATGTGAAATAAGAAAGTCTTAACAGCAACCATTCAAAAATTTTGGCCAAGGTTAAAGTTTTTCAAAAGTAGGTCAAAATTCCAAGGTAAAGATCATCAGATAAAATATATTGGTATCAGAAAAAATGTTTTGCTGCAAGGAAAAGATAAATGCTATATGAAAGATCTAGCACCAATAATTCATATGTTATGGTCAAGGTTAAAGTTTTTCACAAGTAGACTAAAATTCCAAGGTCAAGGTGAGAATGTAAAAAACTTTGGTACCAAAAGAAAGGTCTGGTCACATGGAATACATATGTAAAATATGAAAGTCCTAGGACCTAATCCACTGTGCGAAAGTTATGAACATGATTAAAGATGGGTAAATATTTTTCAGAAAGCATGTCAAATCCCAAGATGTCTAATTTGTTTGAACCCCAAGAAAGGACTTGCTCCAAGAAATACACATGTGAAATATGAAAGCCCTAGCAATTATTGTTGAAAAGTTATTGGCAAGGATAAAATTTAAAATAACCAGAAGTCTCTGATGAGACTGTAGCTCTACTGGTCTGTACGTATAACAAAGTAGCACTTGGATTTGCAACATGCATTAATAAATAGAATTATTTATCTTAATGTAGTCTACTTCTGTGCCAAGTTATATTGAAATCAAACGAAAACTGTAGGAGGAGTAGCATTTTGAAAGTATTTCACAGAAATTTCTATTTTTATTAACCACATCAAAAACCGAAATGCATATAATGTATCGTAGTGTATTCCAATTGTTTGCCAAATTAGATTGAAATCAGACCAAAAGGAGGAGTAACATTTTAAAGGGATTTCACAGAAATTTCTTTTTTTAGTAACCATGGCAACACTGTTCATCGAAATCAAAAACCGATGCATTAAATTATGTATCTCAGTATAGTCTTCTTGTACGCCAAATTATATTAAAAGCAGACTAAAACTGTAGCAGGAGTAGTGTTTTAATTAAAAGTTATTTCACAGAAATTTCTATTTTTAGTAACCATGGCAACACTGTTCATCGAAATCAAAAAACGATGTACTAAATTATTTATCAAAGTGAAGTCTACTTGTGTGCAAAGTTATATTAAAATCAGACCCAAACTGTAGGAGGAGTAGCATTTTAAAGGAATTTCACAGAAATTTCTATTTTTAGTAACCATGGCAACACCGTTCATTGAAATCAAAAACCGATGCTCTAAATTATGTATCATAGTGTAGTCTACTTGTGTGCCAAGTTATATTGTAATCAGACCAAAGCTGTAGGAGGAGTAGCGTTTTGAATGAATGTCACAGAAATTTCTATTTTTAGTAACCATTGCAACATCGTTCATCGAAATTAAAAACCGATGCACTAAATTTTGTATTTTAGTGAAGTCTACTTGTGTGCCAAGTTATACTGAAATCAGACCAAAACTGTAGGAGGAGTATCAATTTGAAAAATTGTTTACAGACAGACGGACGGACGACGGACACCTTACTATCGCATAAGCTCTTCTGGTCCCTGACCAGTAGAGCTAAAAATATGCCCCATAATCTTTAATTCCATAAAAAGTAGTTTAATTGTAAGGCATCAGTTAAGGTCTTGACATAAGACAGTGTAGTATAAATAATAGTAATACCATTAATAATTTTCTTTATTTACCTCTCCTTTCAGATGGTTTCTATGATCTTTTACATCAGGAAACTGTACATAAAAATGATATTCAATTTTCTCTACTTGTGAATTTTTCAGGTCTTCTTTAAGATTCTTAACCAGTTTCCTTTGATGATGAGGTGTGTTTTCTTTACTTGAAAGCTTTAAATTATATAAAAGTAAATTGTGTCTTGTATTCATTTAAAATATTATACAGCAAAACGTACATCAACACATAAACACTGAACACATTTACATATATTTACATATTACATTTATTGATACAATTTTTAGTGAGTCTATAATACAAATTAATACATACTAAATAGCTTGAAAACTTCACAACATGACGAATCTTTATTCGAACAGGACAAGCTTTCTTTTTGCTGTTCTGCATCAATCTACGCTTTCTTCTATATGTGTGGTCAGACTACAAAAAAAAAAGAGCTAATCTGAGATAAAGGTTCAGTGACTGGGTTATGTTAAACAGTAACTGGGTTATGATCCTCATTGACTGGGTTATGTTAAACAGTGACTGGGTTATGTTGTTCAGTGACTGGGTTATGTTGTTCAGTGACTGGGTTATGATCCTCAGTGACTGGGTTATGTTGTTCAGTGACTGGGTTATGTTGTTCAGTGACTGACTTAGTTATGTTGAACAGTGACTGGGTTATGTTGAACAGTGACTGGGTTATGTTAAACAGTGACTGGGTTATGTTGTTCAGTGACTGGGTTATGTTAAACAGTGACTGGGTTATGTTGAACAGTGACTGGGGTATGTTGAACAGTGACTGGAGTAT